ATTATGGCTGTAAAAGCAGGGATCTCCAAACTCGGCAACTTTAAGACTTGTGGACTTCAACTCCCAGAATTCCTCAACCAGCCATGCTTGTTTTTAAGCATAGGAAGACCAGCTTATTTTGATATAGGGAAAATATCACTTATAATAGAATGGGGCCACCATTGTTCCACAGTAGGATTATGATAGGATGGTATGGGTGATAATGAAAAGGGAAGAAGAACTGTAATACCATGGAAAGGATGAACATTTTTGTTTATTTATTTATTAGATTTACATGCAACCCATCTCATCTAGAGGCGACATAAAGATTCTTCCTTTATATTATAGGGACCTACAGGATGTATCTTGCTTGTCTCTTCTGCCAAACCTGCCCGGCAGCTATATATGAAGTTTCAACCAAATACTGAATGCTTCAATTTGTCCAAAAAGGAAATTCATTAAGTGTATGCATTCATTACTCGGTTTCAAATAGAGCTAAAGTGTTTATCTAGTATTGTCAAGCTTTCTTACATGCCTCCGTCTTCTATTTTTAAACTTTATTTTTGTGAGAGGTACTCTTAATAGATGACTCACCTCTCTAAGGCATGGACATTCAATTATTCTTACAAGCATGAAAAATGTTTCCTGAGTTTTTCTAAAACCAGCAGAGATGCTAAGAAGCACTTTGAAATATATTTCTATTGCTTCTTATTTTAATGAAAATTGCTGTGGACAAATCTCTGTAGGGTCATCAAAGGAAAAGAGGAAGAATGGGATTGGAAGATGTAGTGCCTCTTGGAGAACCGCATCTCCAAAGGATCTTGCTGCCATTCCCCTTTCCTATTTCCTTCCCTCTCTCCAGATTGCACCTGCATGTACATAACAAATAATTCTGATTGTATAGGTTGATTCTGAATCAGCTCCGAACTAAAATAAGGTTATTTGAACTGCCCAGGTAAGCTGCATTTGTTTGTTCCTTAGTTAGGATCATTCAATGAGTAGATCAGATCATGGAATTATGATGATGGTAAGTTAAAGGAATTAACTATGTGGCTTCCATTTTCAATTACGCATTTATTTTATCATGCAGTTGAGTCTAAGAGGAAAAAATTAGAACATGAAGTTCCGCGTGAACACGAGATATCTGGTTTTGAGAAGAAGGGGAAATGATGTTTTCACACGAAGGCGCTAGAGTTCAAGTGCCATGATATATATTAAAAATAAGAGGGGGCATTAGGAAAAATGTGTGCTGAAATAAATTATTATAAAAAAAACAACTTCTCCTCCCACTGTGGATTAAGGATCTTTTATGGAAGGTTCCTTCTGGTCAACTATATTCCCCTAAGATTGGAGAAGGACAAGGCTTTGTTTAAATGGAAAACAATGGAAATAAGGCATATAAGGAAGGATGGTGAACATCATGTTATCATCAATGTCTGATAAAACCTTACTTGATTGATGGATTTAGTACATTTGAATGAAGTCGTAGTGCTATAAAAGAATACAAGTTTTTTTAAAAGTCCAATAAAATTCAGAAAGTAATATTAAACAGAATATAAGCTAAAATTTAGGAAATACATATTTTAAGTGTGGTCATAAATTAATTGCATTTCAGCCAAAAGATATATAAAGTTAGAAAAGATTTAATGCTGGAAGTGCCATCCATCAACTTGAAGATAAACAGTACATTTTGGAAGTGAAAATGATAACATGAAAATATGCATGACCTGCCATTTGCCCCAGTTATAATGCATTTTTAAAAATGAAAAAGAGGGAGCCGGATTCAATGAGCATCATTGTTTATGGCTTCTTCAAACCAGGTACAGAGGCTGGACCTATTTCCTGCTTTCTCCCTCCTTCCTTCGTCTTCTATTCTCTGGGTATTCGTTGAGCAAGTGGGTTAGGGTACCAATATATTCAAAATCAGCATTTATACTTGGAGTACATTGCCGCCAGTAATATATCTGTCATTTTCCTCCAGAAAATGGTTTCACCTTGAGCTGTTCCCAGATCAATCTCAGAGGGAAACTATATTTTGACCCTTGGCTTCATAGGTATTATTGTGCTTTTACTGCCAGATGGAAACACACTTGGTGATATTTAGCATTGCCTTATTTTATGTTTTTCTGCCTAGATATTAGATTCCAGTCCAAATGAGCTTGTTTACATTGTATACTCTAGAAATTCATAGTTTCAGATATTAATATTTATTGTAATTATTGTGTTTGGTCACATAGTCAGCCAGATGTTCAGATTAATCTTTGTTTTCTTTTGCCATAGTCATTCTACTTTTACTTGCAGATCTTTGTATTATGTGATTTTCTCCAGTTCTTTTTCTTCTATTCTTCTGACTTCAAGTACTGCACTATCCAGACCTATTTTTTTCTTTCTTATCAACAATTGTTAAGTCTGGGGTATTGTGGCAGGTGCTTGTCTGTTTGAATTCTAAAATCCCAGAATGCTTTAGCTTCTTCATTTTCTATTACTTTGTCTATTTTGTGGTTTTACCAGCTCTTGCTTGCAGGCAAGTGATGTTTCTTGCAGATATTCCAATACACCCTTGTTGTTTCTTTGCTATGATGTTGTTACTAATGAGTCTGTGTGATTTTTTGCAGCAGCTAACTAGGTGCTCCACTGTTTTGTTATATGTGCTGTCTTCTTAATTTTGGCTTTATATGCATTTGTTTTTAAGAATTGATTTTGTTCAGAATTAGCCCTTCTGTTTCTTTTTTCAACTTTCCATGGCCAGGTTTTCTTGTTTTCTGCTTTACCTGCTAGTTTTTCATCATGTACTGGCCATGTAATACTTTGTCTTGCCATATCTCTTTTCTATTTTTTATTTGATCTTTCTTGTAGGCCAGGTTTGTTTTGTTATTCATTTATTATCTCTTCATAACAATGTAAAGTCACAGCTGCAAGTTTTTTAGCTGGTGTTGGCCTTCATGTGCATCATTTTCCCCCAAGAGCCTAGGATGTCATAATATATCAGTATAGTATATGTGCATGCCAAGTTGTGTGGCCTTTTCCAACTGACGGACGGAAATGTCAATGCACAGATTTTCTAAGTGCTATACAAGATTTTTTGGTCTAGCACCCATGTGCCGATAATTCCTGGGACTGCTGCCGCTGGCTTGTGCCCTAATCTTTCAATTTCAGTTTTTCAGATCTTGATACTTTATGATCCTCTCCAATTCTTTGTCATCTATTCTATCATCTCCAATTCTTTGTCTTATATTCTACCATCTACTGTACTATATACTATGCCATATCAATTATCCACACTTTCTTCTTTTCAACCACAGTTATATCGTATTATGAGTCAAGATTTTATGACTCTATATTCAGAATTCCACAAAATTGAACCTGCTTATTTTCAACTACTTTTTCAACTATATGTTCCCACTAATTCATTACTGGTACGTGATAATTTTTACAGATGTTCCAGTGAATTATTTTGATTACTGTGTGATGTTGTCATTGTTCATAATCAGTTTGCGTGACCATCTATCACAACCTGAATAAATGATATATATTTCATCTGCTTCTTTGCCCAAGCTGCACTTTGAATTATTTGATGATTTTTCAATTCTGACCTTGATTGTATTAGTTCAAATACCTTGCTCTTATGCAACAGAAACCAAACCTTCAGTTTGTTTTTTTTAATGTTCCTGTTGTAAACCATTGCAAGGTTTTACCTTTATCCACTTCCTTCATGATCATTTGTAAAAATTGACCATGTAATCCTTTTTCCATGTCAACATTCTGTTCAAGTTTTTATTACATTTTTTTTCAATATTCACTTTTTGTTTCCTATACATTTAATACTTTTTCATTTTTAAACATCAATGCTTGTCCTTGACAAGCATCAATGCTTGTCCTTGACAGTCTTTTACATAATAAATTAATGCACACTTTTCTTCTTCAACAGTTTTTCTGACCTGAAGTAAGCCTTTGCTTCCATTTCTGTGGGGCAGGTATAGTCCATCAATATCACTACAGGGATGTAATACATAGTGAATAGTGGGCAGTTTTCTTGTTTTTTCAGTCTAAACTGTCTAGTTCAGTTTGTGTCCAGTTAATAATTCTAGCAGTGTATCATATCATAGGTATGACCCAGGTATTGATGGCATTTCCAATATTCAGTTTTGTCTTTGGTAATATTCTAACTCTTTGGATGTCTTGTTTATTAATCACACTTTTAACTTATCTATGCTTGCTGTTATTCAACTGTATAATGCCCAGATACTTGTAGGCTTCATCCTGATGGCACTTGATAGTTTGGCCATTTAATATTTCAATAACATTACTGCTTGTGATTTTATCCTGATGTATTGCTACAGAGGCATATTTCCCTGGGCCAAATCCCATTGCTATAACTTTGCTAAAAATTCTTATAGAGTTTGTCAATGACTTTCTATAAAGCTTTTGATGATGATGATGATGATTTAGTTTTATCACAATTATCTCTCTATCTCTATGAACTCTTATCTCTATCTCATCTATCTATTATCTATCTTACATGTATGTAGGTATGTAATGCAAGGCAGCAAAGATACCTAATATTCTTGCTTTCTATTTTCTTTACAACAGCATCCCTGTTAGGTGGGTTGGGTTGGGTTGAGAGAATTACTGGCTTAAAGTCACCCAGTGGCTTTTATGCCTAAGGCAGACCTAGAAACAGTCTTCTGATTTCAAAGCCAGCACCTTAACCACGACATCAAACTAATATCTCCGACATCTCTTCATGAATATTTGTTGCAGTCTGTTCCAGTTTAGCTTTTTGTCTTCAGTATAGCTCCTCCATAGTTATTAATTTGCTTTCCTAGAGTTAATATACCCTTTCAGAAAATATACTGGTATTCATTTTAATATCTGTGATGATGAGAGTTAAGTGCTGCATGTTGTGCTAAAAAAACCGATCACAGCCACAATTCTGTTAAGCTCACTATAAATACAAATTATTTCCTAGGGAACTAACATTCTTTACAAGTAATTAATTTTAACTGTTAATTGTTTTGCAGGTCACTATTCTCATAAGCCTGGCTCTTGCATTCCTTGCCTGCATAGTCTTTCTTGTGGTATACAAAGCGTTTACCTACGACCACAGTTGCCCAGATGGATTTGTTTATAAGGTAAGAAGTCTGGGATGAATGAACTGTCTCAGCTAGTGATAGAATCTAGTTCGCTGCATGACTACAATTTAATGCTGCCTTTTTCTGTCAGGACTGAAGATATAATTTGTCAACAACATGCTGAAAAGTGGCTAGTGCTTTAGGAAATAAAGGTCTGCAATACCCTCCAACAGCCTCAATTATTCTGAATCTGACAGGTATAAATCTTCAAGCAGACTGCAGCCAGCCACCCCCATCTATTTTTGAACAGGCTGACAAAACTAGGTTTTTGACTCAGCTTAGTCTCAGCATCAGATTTAAAATGTAAGAGGCACACCGTTACACACTATGCATTTTAAAAGTTTTGGGAACTCTTTATTGATCCTCAGTTTATTGTCACAGAATAAAAGGAGAAATAGGAGTAAGAGTAATAAAACTGAGGAAAAATTACCTATTGACAAGCATGATTCACTGTCTTGTTGAATTTCATGTCTATGTCTTTACATCCAAGGACACGGTTCTGTTCATTAGCCTATACCAGGGGTAGGCAACCTTGGCTCTTTTATGACTTGTGGACTTCAACTCCCAGAATTCCTGAGTTAGCATGGCTGGTTCAGGAATTCTGGGTATTGAAATCCACAAGTCATTAAAAAAAGCCAAGGTTACCTACCCCTGGCCTATATCATACAAAAAGTTGGATTGAGAACATGTGTACTTGCAATTCTGCTGAGATTTGCAGGGCTATCCTAAGAAGAAATTGCATATAGGAAAGTAAATTTTCTTTTGAGTCAAAGTCAACTGCTGGTGAGTTTTGCTCCATGGACAGATCCATGCAATCATTTTGGCAACAATGCAGAATGGTGTCCCATTGCTTTTTTTTTTCTACTTTCTTATTTCCTAGTCTAAACTACAGCCCTGGGGTTTCTTGGCAGTCACCCCTGTAAGTAATAGCCAGCCCCAACACTAGTTTTTACTTTTTGAGATCAGCCAAAAGTCAACTGCCATGGAGTTGAGATTGGTGGCTAGAATTGCACTCAAAATATTTAAACTTTTGCAAGGGGTTCAGAGTGAGCTAAGTTGATGGCAAGTAGATAATTAAATTAAAAAAGTGCTTTTGCTTAATTGGTATTCATGGTTCCTGTTTTTTCCTTGCTCTCCAGCATAAGAGGTGCATTCCCGCCTCTCTCGATGCTTACTATTCAGCTCAGGATTCCAACTCCCGGGGCAGATTCTACACCGTCATCAGCCACTACAGCATGGCTAAGCAAACCAGCTCGCGGTCTGTATCTCCCTGGCTTTCTTCAGGATCGGTAAATCATGAAAATAAGGCCACTAAGACAGAAGGCCATTAAAGCCATGCAATGGCCTGGGGATGAAGGGAGTGGGAAAACCACATCATGTCTCTAAATCATTGCTCTAGTTCACAGAGGGCGCCTTGCTTATCAGTGTGATGAGAATACACTAATTCCAAGTGCAGGTGTCATCTTAATGGATAGTTTTCTCTCTTTCATTCATTCTCACCCTCCCCTTTAGTGCATTGTTCTCGTTAATTTGTAACTAAGTCAGGATCTTGTACAAAGGCATGTTAGGTGTTGACTATATCTCACAATGTACAAATATTTTTAAAACCATTGCTAAGTATTTGTTAAGAAAATAAAAATGAAACAAAAAAAGCAAACCCAGGAAACATTGACAAGAAGGTAAAAGAAATAGTAAACATAATTTATTAGGCCTTTCTTGGCTGAAAAAAAAACAGCCTTGAAACTTGGCAAACAAAGGTGGGGAATTTATTTATCACAATGTGACATGGAAGGAAAGTTCAGATGGAGGAACTTTATTGTGCACAACCATCATATACAAATAAAATACATAATTGTCTGGGCAAAAATCAATCTCAAAGAGTTTTCAAGGGATGGTGATGTTATATGGATGCTTTTAAAGCAATTTAGCACCATTGGTGCTCCAATGTGCATTATTCTGTTCCTGACATTAAAATGAATGGGAAAGCCCTTACATACAAGGAAAATCCTGTCTCTTTACCAAAAACTCCACACATGCATTAAACTATTGGATTGTGGCTACTAATCTTTGATTGTTTGTTAAGAGGGAAATATTAGCCATGAGAGTGAATGCAAGCAGGTTCCTATGTGTCTCCTGACTGTCAACACAATTTTGAATACAACAATTCTGCCCTCCCACAAGCCAAAACTGAATGCCAAAGTTCAAAAACAACAAATCAAAATTGGACCTAGTAAAAAAGGGTGAACTCCTGTCTCAGAAGGGCTGAGGGGATTTTTTTGGGGGGTGAATTTGAGATAGAGAAAAAAAGTTGTAGAAGTAAAACAGATTTTATTTTGATCTCTCACGGAGTATAAAAGGCTTATATCCCCTTGATATAAGCCTCTCATACTCCTTGAGGAATCAAAATAAAATCTGTTTCACTTCTACAACTGGGAATCTTGCTGAATAGGGCAACAGGCAGTTGCCACCGCAAATGTCCCATCACACGGCTAGCTACCCTTTCAACAGAGAGATTCAAAGTAACAGACAGATAGCCTGTTTTCTATATGCTTGTCAAAATACATTAAAAATTAAAAAAAATGGTTAGCCAAGCAGGCATGTTATCGCACAAATAAAATGTTGCTAGAGGAACTAGCACTGGTATCCAGAATTAGCTATTAATCACCATGACTCAAAAATGATGAAATAATGCATCATGACATCACGAGGCATATGACTGCCTTTTCATATCCCAAGATTAGATACAAGTACAAAAGTTATAGGTTTTGCCTGGTGACATTATGACAACATTTAAACACTTGCACTACCTATGCCAATGGGTGCCAGTTAGCTTCAGAAAATTCTTATCCTCATTGGCAAAGCCCATTTTCTTTCCTGAAAATCTGAAAGAGTTGAATAATAATGTACTCTCCTCAAAATGTAAAAGACAGAAAAAAACAAAACAAAACCCAACCTACCAACCAACCAAACCAACAAACAAACTTGCAAGCAGCAAATAATTTTTTTAAAGTGGAAATTCGATTAGAAGTAGCACAAGCTGAAACAGTGACATTGGCTGTCCGCTTCAAATTTTCTGCAATAGGGATCATGAAGGAGGTACTGGTTCTCCTGTGTACTGGACAGTATTTGACATATCATATTAAATTAGCACATTGTGTAGATGATGAGTAGGTTACAAAAGGATTTTATGAGTATGACCTTGCTGTTTTATACCACATTTGCATGCTGGCATTTTTAAATTCTTCCCTCTTCGATTGTCCTTCACCCTATTCAATGACGAAACATTTTTTTTAAAGAAATGCAAAATAATTTTAAAAGTCACCTGTGACATAATGTCAGAGCAGCTGTGGAATAAACCACTACCACCACCAAAAACCATGTGTATTTCTATACACTCTCATGTAGTCATGCCATGCACCTATTGCAGATCATAGCTTCACTCTTTAGGAAGATTCTCCTACCTGACTCTGTGGGTTCATTTTTACTAATGAAACCAACCTCTAACATCGCTGTCAATATAGATGGTAAGGAGATATGGAGCTACTCATTGGAAGCCATTTTTTCCTCACAGGAAAAGAATCCACATGTGTTTCAAAAATCAAGCATATACATTACTCTTAATGGAAATATAATGCCTGTGTTTGCTTGCACCAAGTCCTTGGCATCATCTAAGAAACTGTTTTATAAAAATTGTGTTATACAAATATACAGGCTACTAGTGCAGCTGGATTAGTACTAGTGACCATGTCAGGCAATGGCACTTCGTAGTCTCCTAAACAGTACTGATTAAGGCCACATAAGGCAACCACTTCAAGATCTGATCAGTGCTTAGATGGAAGACTCCAATCACATGAGTCCAATCATAGACCTAAATGTGCTACATAGATTTATATTACAGCCACACTGAGTTCATCCTCAGTAAATAAAACATGCTGATTTTTAACAGAAGTTCTCAGAACCCCACATGAAATCAGAAGAGCCATTTAGAATGATAAGAACTGATGAATAAATGCACAGGAGGAAACAGTTCAAGAGGGTGTTTGATCTAAGACATCATGTTGGGAAATGCTGTAATCTCATATAAGTTTATGCTTTATGACATATATACAAAGATTTGAATGAATTATGTATTTAAATATTGTTGGGTTTTGCAGAGCTGGTTTGTGTCAAATTAACCTTCAGTTTCATGAAGAAAAAAGAAACCAAGGGTGTGATCCACCAAAATCTTAATTTGTATTAATAGGAATTGCTTGGGAGTGGTCATTGGGGGAATTATTGGCTGTATATGCCCAAATTATGCAAATTAAATTACACCTGAATGTAGAGAAAAACTAAGTAAACAACAGCAGTTTTAAAATTAATGAAATTGTCACTAAGAGTCCTAAAGATGGGCTCTCAAATCAGATTCCTGCTTTATATTTTACCTGCAAGAAAAAAGAAAGCCCACCCTACTGGAGATGGAAAACAAAAGAAATAATGATAAATGGTTGTATAATGTAGCCAAAACTGTAGTGCCAAATCTCATTGTCTTTTTATCCCTGTCTTTATCTCTTTCTTCATACTACATCTGTAAATCCATTTCTCATCTAAAAATGTAAAAATAATCATTGGAAAAAAAAGTAAACAATTTCCAGAATGGCTACTGGATAATTTATAATTTTGTGGTTGTTGTATGTTAGTAGGTAGAAGAGACTGAAGTATTTTTGGTGTAGTTCTTGACTTTTTCTGACAGGACAAATAAAATTAGATGTGTCTGAGAGTCTCAACGATTGTGGTACCATTGTTTCCTTCCATTTTCTCTAAGAATTCTCTAATAATTTAGATGGATATGACGAACAATTTTGCACATTTATTTCATACCCCCCCCACAAAATATAATTGATTAGCTTTACATTTTTTTAAACACACATGTATCTTTTAGAAAAATATATAGGTGACTGGCTTATCTCAGAACCATTTTACTTTTTGTGGTTGCCACATTTGTTGTATACCAGTCAGTCTTGGGTAGATACATTTAACAGGAAAAGCCAGCTCTAATTCTGCTTGCTAGTCAGTCCTAAAAAAATCTATATTGTACAGCACTTGCATATATAACATAAGCACATCCTCTAATCATGTTTGACTGTGGTCACTTTTCCTGTACATTGTTAGGATTAACGATCTTTTTTTTTCTCAATCCAGTGCAGAACTATTATGTGTTCTTTAGCCCAGGGGTCCCCAATCTTTGCGGTTTGAGATCAACTCAATTCATAGGTTGATCTGGTACATACTGATCCCAACTGTCAGTTTCAGGACTCAACTGGCATCTGCCAGTCCAGTATATTAAAGATTGCATGATTGCAATGAGTTACAGTTCAAAATGGGTGGGTCCTTCACAGTTCAAACCTGCAGTTCCAAAAAACCTTGCTTAGACATCAGCCACCCACATACATGTGCAATGATACTAGATGCTTGACACATACACTTTTCTTTTGTGAACATTTTGCAGCCCTCGCTTATTTTAAGATCCAAGGTGAACTTATTCTGCAGAAACTCATACTTTTCTGGGAGGAGGAAAGTACTGAAAAATTGTTCCTGAAAACTGTTCAAACCCTGAGAAAATTCAACAAAACTATGATTTAATCAACATTATAATAGAAACAGAGATTACAATCAGAATATCCTCAATATCAGCCAAGGTAAGTGAGATGTATAAATTGCAGCCTGGTCCATGCTGCTCAATAACATTTTTTGAATACATCTAAAAAATACTTGCTTTTAATAAAAAAATGAATCACATAAAAAGAGACTTGTATATAAGATTGCATCACACAGCTCCAGAAATTAGGGAGGACAAAGATAATGATTAAGTGAGCAAATATATGTGCAAATACATTTTACTGCCAATTAGGGGTGAATGAGCATGCATATGCAGCATTATGTATAAAAACAGACATACATCTACACATTCTCTTTATTCACTGCTTCTTATAGGATGAGCTTTATGTGAGGACCTGCCTCAATCCCTCTTCCCAAGAAAGCAGAACTCCTGGAACAGCTTCATTTCAAAAGGAACTTTTATTAGTAGAAGTTGACCGCAGGCATGAAAGGCAGGATCTGAGGGTTTCCCAAGTGAATCAATAGGTTAAATGAGCAACTGGCAAACCCCACCCCAATAGTCCATCCAGTCAGTTCAAATGAGCCAATCTCCAGGTATGAACCCACTGTGGGAACGGGGTTGATAAGAGGCCATTCCCAAGGTTGGTAGGCTGTTAGGACTTCATGCCTGTTCTTCAGCAGCTAGAGATAAGGCAGATGGCCGGAGACACATTCCATTCTCACCCCAGGCTGG